CAAATCTCATTCTACAGCTATTTCTTTGCCTCTGCTTTTATTAGTAGTATTTTCCCTCTGTCTCACAGATTTGTAATTAGATTAAATAACCAATGCTGAAATGCTTTAAAAGTTTCTCATGTGTTTACCACATATCAAGAAACAGATTTTTTTTCCTTTTGTGTTTAATGGCATACTCTACATAAATACACAGTTCTAAGAGGGATATTAAATGGAATCTATACTGTTACGTATGAAAGCAATCACAGTCTAAACTAATGCCAAAGAGTAATTACAGCTTAATTGCCTTGGCTTGTTTGGCATGTCATAAATGTTTTTACAATGGTTCTTAGGAGATCAAGAGTCAGAAAACAAATTTCTGCAAGTTCTGGAGAAATTACTACAGTCTGTTAAGGCCTTCCTCAAACTGGTTCTATATTCAACCATCTGCAGTGTTGGGAAGATATTTCTCTGAGCTGTAAATGCTATTTGTCTGCTGGACAAAATTCTTTATCTAATACTTAAATTACATTTCTACAAACACCACAGTATATAAGAGTAATTATAAAGTGCTGTTCTCCAAAGAGTTAACTTTTCCAACAAGACAACTAAAACCATTAAAGATTATATAGGATCCATTTATTTGTTTCCTAGGGATTAAGCACTAAACAAAGGACCAGTGCAACCTCTGTGAAATGTTCTTCTGTGAAACAAAAACCTGTGTCACATAAAAAAAGAACTGTAACTTGTCCCTCTAATTTGATGCTTACGAAGGAAAAATTCTACATATGCTTACTTTTTGAGATGCAACTTGCTCAAAAAAGCAGGATTTTTTTAAATCTGTGAGACTGAAAAGAATGTAAAGGAAAAGATATTGCCAGCAGTCACACTGTTTGATGAAGAAGAGCTACAGGTAATTTTGTTGCCATGGAACAAAGTGTGAATTGCACAGGACGAAGGAAAAAAAAGTTGAAGTACATGCTACAAACTTTTTCACTAATGGATTTTTTCTGCAGACCTTAGACAATGGGGTTGCTTTTCATGATGCACTAGCCCTGGAGGTACTCTCAGGAGATGTTAATAAGACAGTATTGTTGCATACCACATATTGCTACACACAATGGCAGAGAAGATTTTCATTAAAGGCAGACACTGTCATACCACTTTGCATAACTTGCCCAGAAAAGGAAGACCTTTCTTTTTCACCATTTTCAGCCATTTTCTGTGTCCCAGGGGACTTCTAACTAAACAGAAGAAGAAAAGATTGGAAATGAGTGTGACAGCAAAATAGTAATTGTACTGAGTATAAATACAGAAACTAAGAAGCTATCCAAAAATAAAAACTTGGCACATGTGAATTTTGGCATAGAAATTCTTCTGCCCTGATAGTTTCTTATAGCAATTCAAGCATGAATCAAATAACAGCAGGACTTATCAGCTGGTGACAACTGAAACCAATAGTTACGATGTATTGATTTCAACAAACATTTTCATTGCATAGCATACTGTGTCCCCAAACCTTACAGCTGGCAGGGACATTTTAAGGGCATCTAATTTAAAGCATTCTGGAATAAATCCTCTCGGGACAATACATTTATATGTCAGTGATATTGATATGTGTATATTTGGCGTAAAAGAATTACTTTTTCTTTAAAATCCAATAATTCCTACTAAAAATATCTTATCTGTAAAATTATAATTTTTTTGTGATCATTGGAGAATCTTTAGTAAGTTGATTGCTTAACTTTTGTGTTAAATATTTATGTTAGATCAAGAAGAGTTCCCCTGTTTTTCATCTCTATGACCCTAGAACTTTTATCATGTGTCTCTAGGATTGTTATTTTGTGAAGGCAAAACAATAAAAAGGGATGGCAAAACAATAAAAACGGATGGATAAGTGTAAATTGCATTTTCTCCTTGAATTTAGTGATATTCAATTTTACTCTTTTATTTACTAATATCCATTTGACAATGCAGACAGTCTTAAAACCACAGACAAAGCTCATTAATTTGACTGAACAGAGAAATTGTTTCTAATATTCTGATGTTCTTAAGTATACCTAATAGCACAACAGCCAAGAGAAAACAATCTTGAAATTAATGTTTGTCATCTACTATGAAAATCCACAGTGTATCTCAACATGTTAGATTTCATGCTTCAGTTTTATACTTCAATTAGAATTTAATTATTGAAAAGTGCTTAAATTCTTCAACTCTGTGGCTTAGTTCCCAAGCAATTTCAAGGATTATTTCAACAAATTGAACTCCTGAGTTTGACACTTATCCATGAGAAAAAAAAACCCAAAAAACAAAACAAAACACCTGACTATTTTCAATTTGAAATTGGTACATGGCATACATTCCATTCAGGAGGCAGTATAATCTGTAAAAAACTACACAATAATTACAGACCTCTGGATAAAGACAAAGAAAGAAAAGGATTTAATTTGATTAGGCTCCAACTGTATTCATTTAACTCATCTGGGAACTATCCAGCAATAATTCTTCCAATGAAGGTCATAATTCTTCTTTAATTGTTTCCACCTGGTACAGTACTGTCATCAATCCCCTGTTCTCCACCTTTCTGTACTTGGCTCCCAGCCCATCATTCATGCCCTCCCAGTATTCCCTTGCACTATCATTAAGGAGCAAGGGAAAAGAGGTTTGATTATTTTTGTTGTGACACATCACAGAACTTCCAGCTTGGTTTCCTTCTCTGCTGGATGATTTCCCTGTGTTCAATCCCTATTTCTGTTTACACCTCCTAAGAACTAATTCCTGCCCTTTTTCTGCTACATTCAGACATGCTGAGCTTTTCCTTACAACCTGTCCCACACCCCACTATTCCACAAAGTTGACTTTTCTAACTCTTCCCCTTTTCTGCCCTTTTTATAGTCCTCCCTATACATCACCCCCTGCTACCCCCTCAAAAAATCTCAAACAGTTAATAAAAATCCTTTAGCAGACAAAAATCTTCACAAGAAAATTAATGTACAAACAAGAGACTTAAGGCTCACTAAGTCAAGCATTCAAAGACACTCATTCTACAAAGTCAAAATCCCTATACTTAGGCAAATTCCATTGCTTAGCACGCTAACCCAAGGCATGCCTTGTTATGTTCTCGGGCATCCTGAGAAGAAAAGGGATACTGCGGGACACTAAAGAAATTAACCTCAACAAAGGCGACCTTTTACTTCCCTGCCTAGCACATTGCCTTTATGATTGCAGTGACTTCATTTGGGGAGTCAGACTGTATACATGAAATCCAGAAGCGTTCTGTTACTGGTCATTTTTCTCTGAGAGACTTTTATCATATTTCCTCATTGGAATGATCATGGAAATTATTTTATTTTTGGAACTTAAATGCAGTCAGCACACTAGCAAGCATACAAACTTTATAATAAATATGTGCTGTTAGGCAGTAAGCAGTAAACATTTTTGAAGAAAACTTAATTTGTTTTCAATCAGACCAGATAAGAGTGATTATTAATGATGGTGAATATTTTTATCCAGAAACACAGGCTTGCCTAGACAGGAAATTTTGTATTAGTGGAACAGAATTTCTCAGTTTATTGATTTATGTCTAAACTAAATGAGAATATGTTCTATTGCTCTTGAGGTGGATGGCATGAGATTGAAGTAGGTGTTTTAATATCCTGTTTAATGTCAAGCTAGAAAATTAGGTTCTTCCTCAACCTTTGAGTTTTAGTCATAAAAGACTGATGGTTCAGGACCTCCCAGTGTTTCACCATATACCATCTATTCAAATAGAATGGGCTGACAGCCCTAGGCTGCAAAAATCCTTAGCTGTTTATGGGAAAAATGTTTCCTGTCCATTGGATTGTGAAGGTAGCTCAATAATTTTGAATGAATTAATGTAAAGCTATTTGTATATGGCTTTTAGATATGCTAAAGAAAGTGAAAACCTGGGTAGCATTGCTAATAAGATTTATATGGTAAAATAGATTATACAAAAAGAAAACACATAAGGGAGAAATGAGTCCTATCAGAAAGTACAACAAAATTTAACAGGGAGCTTCACATTTTGGGACAAATACATTGCCTTTCCCTTGCACTTGCACTAGTGCTGAAGAGAAAATGCTTATCTAGTCACATGAAAGGCCCTTCTTCTCCACCTATAGTACTGGAGATAAAAAGGATCCTATCACACATTTACAAAACAAAGATCTCATACTTCCCATTGCTTGAGCAACTGTGACACACTATTACTTCAATAGAACAGATTATCTTGTTGCTTGTTCCTGAAATTTTTGCACAACATTACCTGACAGCATATTGGTTTAAGAGACTGAGCAATAATGATTCTGTAATTTTTCTTCAACATTCAATGCCTTCTGGAAACCATACTGCAGATCATCCTTCTAAAGGTACCTTTGATGTCCATGAGTCTCAGCAAAGTGCTTCTATTAAAAGACTGCCTTTCAGTTCAGTTTGTTTATTTCAATTTGTTGTATATACACCACATTTTCAACTCAGATCAAGATGAATGGACATAAATAATTACACATTTGCTGTAAGAATTTTGTGGCAAAGACCTTTAGTAAGATATTGTGGTTTCAATGCAACCACAACACAATGACAAACTTCCTTTGTAAATGACAGATCTAATCGTAAAGTTAAAATTATAGTTCCATGAAAAAAAAAAAGTATTGAAAACACAGTAGGTTGGCATGTGGCTGTATTCCCAACAAAACCATCCCTATTACTCATGAATTGATTTACACTTTTTATCTTTCCATAACATGCAGTATTTATTTACCCTTACATTTTGAGGCATTACAGTTTCTGCTGACACGAGTATTTTCTTAAAATAGAACATTACAGCAGTCCCCTGCTAGATGTTTAAGCCATGTGTATGTTTATTTTTTAATTTTTTTCTTGAACTTTCTAACTGTGAGCAGGCTGGGAATGTAGACTCATGACGAATGAGAGTTTGCTTTATAAAAAAAAAGAGAAATGTAGACATTTGATGTAACACTGAAAAATTCACAGCCTCCTACCTTAAAAACAAACATTTCCCGGCGAAGAATAGCCAGAGTGTTGAAGTTCCCATCACAGATGTTAGGCTTGGCTCCGGGATAGGAAGGTTTGTCACCCGTGGGCGGCCGGGGAGGTTTAGGTTGCCTGTCATTCTTCCGTGGGTCTGCTGGAGGGACTGAACGATGTGGGGGCACTGTGGGCAGAGGTCTTGTTGGTGGAGGTATCCTGTCAGGTGGACCTTGAAAAATACAGCAGCTGGATGTAATATACAAACCCAATAAAGGAAACATGCACAACAAAACCAGCTGTAAGCTGCACAAACCTGACAGTGAAAGGGGATTGAATAAGTGACCTAACATACCTTTCTGATGTTATTAAATCATTGAATCAGAGAATCACAGAATATGCTGAGTTGCAAGGAACCCATTAGAATCACTGAGTCCAGCTCTTGTCCCTGCCCAGGACACCCCAAAAGCCTCACCATGTGCCTGAGACCATTGTCCAAGTGCCTCTTGAACTCAATCAGGCTGGTGCTGTGACCACTTCCCTGGGGAGCCTGTTCAGTTATCAACCAGGCAGTGGTTATAAAGGGTATAAAGAATGACTAAAAAAAACCAAGGAAAATAATTAGTTTTCATTATCCAAAATCTTCCTTTTTGGAGCAACATTCCAATAAAACCTTCAAAGGATGCTTAGGCCTAATAGCTCAAAGCTAATTTTTTACCAACTGAATAAGAGCTCTCATAACAGAATCATTTTCTCTCATACAAAAAAAATGAAAAAAGATCTTGTTTCTTATAAGATCATCATCAGTCAATAGATTTTCAACATATATTTTTAATCTATAGTCATCAATTCACACAGGCACATGCGTAGCATACTTGCTACTTACTACTGACAAAATTTTTAGATCAAGTGATGTCATATTCATTAGAGACAGGACAATCCCTGCTCTTTCCAATGTCCCTTGGTATGTACAGCAGCTCCTAAAAGTGGACCTCAAATTCTAGACATGTATACAACACACATACCCCATCACTCCCCTGCCATGATTTACATATTTTCTTCAAGTGAAAAACTAAAACTCTGTAGAGCAGTCTCAAAACATTTTTCTTCTTTCAAATATATTATTTTTCAAAACATACGGAGTTTTATGAAATTACTATTCCTCTCATAGTTTCTCTACCTGCAAGTCATCAGGCCACCCCAGGGAGATACTGATCATAACCTTAATGGCATACTGAATGACTTGAAATGAGTGTACTGAAAATGCCTGCCCCTCTCTACACATATCAGCAACATTTATTTCTCACATACAAAAAGATAAGAAGCTTCACTTATAGTTACACGTCTGGAAACAAGACGAATGTTTTAATTTTTGCTCACTCTATTTAGGCCTCTCTCCAAATAATTTAAAAAGATAATACACTTTGACATAAAAAAATAAATACTGTTTGTATGACCACCTTCAGAAACACTTTGGAATATTAAGGCAACTCTAAAACTGCAAAAATGACATTTGAATTTCTGAGAATTTTATGAAAAACCACATACTGTATTAAAAAAAAGATGGATTATGTACGGAAATCTTAAACTTGCCAAATGGTTTTCATGCCATTTAATAAGGCATTTATTTCATTCACAATTTTAAGACTTGTGACATTTATAATTTACAGTTAATAAGAGTATTTCAAGGAATACTGCAGACCAAAGTAATTATTTTAATAGGTGTGACATTTTTATTGAGGCATATGATTTCAGATCACATCTTTATTTTAAAGGGAGCAAAGGAATCAGTTTGCAGTAGCTTGTGTTGGAAAGTTTTTAACTCCAAATCAAAGTTTTTTTATGCCACTTGGTGGTGATGTCAGATATTACTTCCCAGGGGCAACACATTTCTCCTAATGTATAGCCCACAGCTGTTCGAGCTTAGCAGCTATTTTTCAGCAAAATATTCTTGTCTAGCCCTTAAGTCTAGACTACCAACTTATGAGGTCATGAGAAACAATCTTCCTTCCAGCTAACCAGGAAAAAAAAACCAAACAAAACTTGATCAGCCAATCATTCTGAAATTGCTATTTATGCTTTACGACAATATCTATCTGTGCTTGTGAATATGATGTTTTAAAATTATTGTTACTATTACACCAGTCTGCAGATTTCTAGTTAGCAGTACAGTAAATCTACATGATCATAGTTGTCCTTTCTGCTAGGAAAGATAAAGAAAGAATGGCCCTCACAATAATCAACATAAAGACGACAAATTTTAAACAGGAAAAACTGGAAGTACAGAATTTAATCCAGTTCAGATTTAATTAAGGAATATTAACCAAGGCAATATCAAATTATATGCACTGGATAGAGAGCATTAACATGGAGATACAACAGATTTTACAATTCTAAAGATCAAATAAATCTTTAAAGAAAAAAAAATACTATTTAACATATACCAACAAAACCAAAGTCATTAAAACCAAAACTAAAGCTATGTCTTTGGAAGTTTAAGGGATAGTAATATGGGAATTAGTATTACATTCACCCCAAAATCACAACTATGTTACTGTTTTGAATTAAAAAAAAAAAATTAGTTGCCTTATTTAATGCAGACTTTATTGGCATCATATGTATTTTATATCAGGCCATAAAAACCTAAATGAACATATTTTAAAGAAGTAGTCTCTTCTTTACCCTCTGTAGCGTCTATAACACCATTTTGAGAACAATTTGTGATATATAAGAAAGGGTATTTACAGGACCTCAGATTTTGAAGGAAATTTTCTATATTATAACTGATAAACCAAGAAACAAAGACTTCATCCAGTTACATGAGCTTGGACGCCTGTGTAAATAATCTCATTATAGTTACAGACCTGCATTTCTTAATATTTTCATGGTTTGCAATATTTTTGAGTGAATTTTCTTTATGGATTTTTAAGACATTTCAAATTACTATTCCAGATGAGTGCAGATTTGAATATAAGTTTTGAACAGTGAGAAACAGAGTAATAGTGCCCTCAAAATCTTTGGATGTTTTACTCACAGAGACTCTGGCATAACAACTAGTCAAGTCCACACTAAGGAACCCTTTGGAGAGGTGATATGGCCAGGAGCACCTCAAAGTTATTCTAAACCAAAAAGCTTGTGTTGTCTGATGAGAACATGACATACCGTATATCTTCTGGATGCCCTGTAAATCATCATTAGGTAGTTTGAAGTTGTCAGTTTCCATATATTGGTAAAATGGAGCCATGATTGCAGTGGGATCATTAGAGTGCTCCAAGCCCAGAGCATGTCCGAGTTCATGCACTGCAACTAGAAAGAGATCGTTTCCTGTGAAGAGAAGGAAAAGAAAAGGATCTTTGAATCCACAAAGCTAGTAAAAAAATAACACACATAGACGATTCTGGACTTGTAAGATGTTTTCACTGCATTTAAGTTTCACAAGGTAATGAGTAGTAATTAATGGATCACCAAGGATATCAAGGATATCAAGGATAATGTGGCAGAAAAGGCATTTTTCTCTCTCTTTTTTCTTTTTTTTCCTAACAAGGAAACCACTATGCTATACTATACTATACTATATGATACTCTCACAATCATCACAAACATAAACCTTTTTTAATTGATACACATGGTAAATGTAGGATTCAAGTGTCAGAGCTCTCTAGGCTTTCATGCAATTTATGACTTGATGTTGCCATGAACCCAGCTAAAAATTCTTTCATACAGACATAGTTTCAATAGAAAAATATCTTGGCTTTGTTTGGTAAATTTCACAAACTGACGACCACCTATTTAGGATAAACCCCACAGAGAACTTAGTCATTCAAACACTTGTAATCAGATCCCTACTGATTATATGTAGATGTTGTCCATTTCTGAATCACTGTAACTGAAATCCTAATGAGGAAAATAGATGTCCTAATATACTCCCCTGTGCAATTCCTTGTAATAACTGTAGTTTTCTATTTAAATTTTAGAGCTTTTTAATTTTTGTAGGACTAAATAAAAACCCCAAAACCATGCACTCATGTTATAGACCAGTTCAATGTTTTTGTTATTCTCTTCTCAAAGTATATTTAATTTTTTTTTTTACAGAATATTAGACACAAGTGGAAGATTTGGCAATAGAATATGCCACTCTTCTCAAGCAAACACAAATCAAAGCCAATGGGATCTTTTCTAAAAAAAAGGTTTCAGAGCTGGACCTCTATTTTGTCTATTTTTGCTCATCTTAGATTTTGTTCTGCATATCCTTCTATGAGTCTTTCATACAGGTTCCGTTGTACTTAACCTGTCACAAAATGAGACTTTGGAAAAGTGGTTTAGATCAGGAGAAAGATTCCAGTTGTCTGAAAAGGGTCACATACAGAACACAGTCCATTCCACTACCTAGGGATGGGAAGAACCATCCTCCCGAAACGTGATACTGTCCTGCTGACCAGAGAGTACTCTAGATCAGCAGCTTATGCTGACCATCTAATTTTTAAACGCTGAACTCATGTGAAACTGGTGTCACCTATAGTAAGTAGTTTGTTGTTGAAAGTATAAATGAGGGGCTTGTGCTCTGGCCTAATAGTCATATATTGGTTAGGAATACGAAACACATGCTCAACCTTAGCTCTTATCCTATAAACTGTAGATTCTTTAGAGACAGACAGTTATTTTCCACTGCTGGAACTTGATCTGGAAGTATTTTTAAAATGTTAGTAGTAATAATAGTAAGTTGCATCAGCAACAAAATTGCACGTATATACATTGCAGAACTTCAAGGACATAGTTGACAGTATTTCAATTTCTCAAGCATTTCCTCTTGTTGACACAATAAAATAAATTTTATCCAAAGTACATATGAAAGAGGAAACACTAAATGCCTTCATGATATATGAAGCCATGCTGATGTCTGTAAAATAAATGTTTGAATGAAATCATGAAAATAGACAAAAGTAAAACTATATGCTTAGTTCACAGAGTCTCCTCATAACTTCTGGTTCTTAATTTGAAAATATGACAACTAAATGTTCTTGATCTTCTATTCAATATAACTGTGCAAAAAATCACATCCTTCAAGAATTAATATGACATAATGTGCTTTTGGAAATGAGAAGTTTATCCTATCATTTATAATTATGTGGTTTCCAGACAAAATGTTTTATGACAATATTTTTCTTGGATGCAGCTTTTTTTACAGCAAAGCAGAATCTCAGTGTGTTGTTTCAACAGGTTTGATAAGCCTGACTGTCCTGATGACAAATAGTCTTGGTATCTGAATCTGGCCTTCTATATGCAGACAAAGTTGATCTTGACATCATCTCATATGAATAATCCATAGCTTCTGTAGCTAACACCAGCATGTAAAGGTTTTCATTCTGCACTTATAATGGAATAATTAATGTAATTTTAAATAATCATAGGTTTAAGATGGAAAGACAGAAGAGAAGAGCATGTTACTGTACTACAGCTTTCATACTATGATGAAAAGTCTCACATTATTTTTCAATTCTTCCCTGAGGTTCATGAAAGTTCTAAACTCGGCTTATTAGAATGCAAAATTTCTTTCTCTTATATTAACTTGAATATTTAAGAAGCAACATTATTTTTCTTTTCAGACCTTCTGAAATAAAATTTCTTTCCTATACCCATTATTCCTTCATCATAATTAAGAATATTAACTAAATCTTATAATAAAAAATGCACTAACAAGTTGGCCACATTTTAGGTACTGACTTATTTTCAGATATTTTTGAAATAAGAGTATTTATTCTAACACAATCATTAGGCTTGTTAATGTCAGTACATGAAACAGTTTTCCACATGTTTTACTTCTACTGTTTGAGGCAGGAAGTCTGGGAAGTTAACAAGTTATAATTTCTAAAATTTCAAGAAACTGCAGTTAATCAACAGTCTTGGAAGAGTCTACTACTTCTATTTTATGACATTTATGCAATACATGAAGAATCAATACATCCATTGGTTATCAGTCCTTATTGAGTCCCCTTACAGATTTCCAGCAATTTCTATATTTTGTTCCATGTTGATCGGAAAGAGGTGAAATACATAGTAACAGGGAAATAAATAAAATCCGACTTTCAGATACTGGCATATCATCTTTCCAGAATCCAAGATAATGAGCATATGGTACAGCACTTCTAAAGTAGTACTAAGTGACAGTGGGATCATGTCAGAAAACTGATATTATGCAGGATCTGGATGTTTCTCCTTTTATCTTTTGGATAGGGGAGATTATTATTATTATTATTATTATTATTATTATTATTATTATTATTATTAATAATAAAAACAAAAAACAAACAAAAAAAACCAAAAAAACCAAACCAAAACAAAACAAATACCCCAAACCAACCAACAAACCAACAAAAATCCCCAAACATTCCATTCAGTGTCTGACTGTCCCTCTGGATTTAGTTATTTCCACCTCATGCAATGCAACCTGTAGCCATCAGGAGAGCCATTAAGTGTGGCAAAGGCAGAACAAATGAATACGGGGGAAGGGAGAAGGTCGCAGGAAAGAACTGGGAGAATAATATTCTTGCCTGAGGTGACAGTGATTTAACAGGGAACATATTTTCTACTCATAGCCAAATAGCCCCATTATTCATAACAATTTCCATCAAGAGTCATGATTGTCTCCAGGGCATCCTGAATTTGAACTGACCCAAATAACTTAGTGCAATTGAAACTCAGGTTTAAACCAGCCCAAGAGGAGCCGTCTGAGTCCAGTACAGGTAGGGCCTTATTACTATCTGAGTTTCCATCCTTTTTGCTTTGCATACGATTATATTTCTCTAATTAGGCAAGAATTATTCAGTACTGCTTTGCTTTAGGGAAGAGACTTGCCCTGAGTACCTCAAAGTTACTGTAAAAAGCTCCTGAGAATGCAGAAGGACAACCTTCTGTAAGTCTTGCTCTTTTCCTCAAGGCTGCACAGAAGTGTATTTGTGACTGCAAGGTCAATGGTAGTCCACCTTCAATTCCTTGGTCAGTGCTCAGAATGAGCTGAAGAAGCATAAAAACAAGTGAGCATTCATATTCAGGCTAGCCTATCAATACTGTTATCCTATCAATACTGGGGAGTTTTTACATTTTCATTTGGCACCGTTGAAGGAGAAAGTCCCAAATAATTTTGTATTTCAGTACATGTTATCCAAGTAGGACATATTTCAGTCCACATGGCAAAATGAAGTACCATCACAAACTTCAACAAGTCATAACAGAGTTAAAATGCATGTGACTACAATGGTTTTTAAAGCAAATGCTGCCACTGAGGATATACAATGGTGTGTAGTCATTGTCATAGACTCAGTTGCATCTTGTTGTATACCCACAGAGTAGTAGAAAAATATTGGAAAATATATTTCACAAGTCCAAAACTTGTGTGTCTCTATTCTTGTGTACCCCATTAGCATGGAGATTTGGAATAGAATGGCTGTAAGCTCAAAAAGTTTGTGATTGTTTTTTTATTTTATCTCAAGTTTGATTTCACAAGGGAAGAAAAAAAAGATAGTGTGTGTAAAGAACTAAGATAAAATTATTATTTTTATACTGACACTTTTGTCTGAGGCTATAAACTATTTTAGGCACTAAATCTGCCTGACTTTAAAAACACTGCCCAAGCTCCAGAATATAGATATGTATTAATATATCAAATATTCAACAGCCAGCAGTGTGGAGCATGTTGTATGGGGAAACCTTTCTCTGTAGCTAATATATACACTATTTTTCACATCTACAGATAAACAAAGCAAATATTTTCTCCACAGTAAGCTATTAAGAAAACCTATCTCTGAAGATAATAATTTCCATTTTAAATGGTGTGGGAGTTCAATTTATAAAAGCAATAACTTAATGGCTTAACATGTGACCTCAATTTTGAAGACTTTTCCATCCCAAGGAAAAGAAAAAGAAACCCTAAAAGCTGAATTTAAAGTTACAAACAATTGTAAAAATACAAAGATGTTTTATACATAGACATACACTTTTACTTCCAAATACTATTTTATTTCATTTTTCGTGATGTAGATAGATGTTTTCCAATTAAATTCATATCAAACTGAAATTTAAATCTGCACAAGACTTCTATTATAGACCTATTACAACAAGACAGTATCTCAAAGGCAAACTTGCAATTAATCAGAAACACTACATGCACACAAAATACCCATTGCTTTTGGTTTGATGTATGCAGAAGTTTAATTTTCATTATTTTGTTCCTTTTTACCATATGATACATTCAAACAGCTGAAGTGCTACAAACTGTAGAGTAAAAGTCTTACTCTACATAGCATACAAAAAAAGAATCTTTATTATCA